CGCCTTATCCTGGGCCGGCCTCGCAGTCCGGGGGGCGGGGGTCTCTCCTGCAGCGCCCCGGAGCGCGCCGCGTGTGTCCGGGAGCCCTTCGCTGCGACACGGAACGCCCGCGGGCCCGGGGGAGGCGCGCGCGAGGAGCCGGCGACGGCCGACGGGCTGGAGGACCTGACGCGCCGCGGCGCTCGCGCTGTCGCCTCCTAGGAAGGGCTGCGGCCCTTCCACCGCCGCCGCCCGATGGCGAGGCTGCGGGATTGCCTGCCCCGCCTGATGGTCACCCTCCGGTCCCTGCTCTTCTGGTCCCTGGTCTACTGCTACTGCGGGCTCTGCGCCTCCATCCACCTGCTCAAACTTTTGTGGAGCATCGGCAAGGGACCCGCGCAGACTTTCCGGCGCGTCGCCCGGGAACACCCTCCCGCGTGCTTGAACGACCCCTCTTTGGGTACCCACTGCTACGTGAGGATCAAGGTAAGGCCGCCGCGGGCCTGGCGTTAACGGGAGGGGACGTGACGGCCGTGAGAACGGAGGGTGCCGGGCTGCTCCTTCCATGACGCCCGGCTCAGCGTCCCCTAGCGTTCCCGGGGCTCGCTGGGCGCGCGGCGGGGACCGGGAAGATGCCAAGGGGAGGCAGGAGGGGCGAGGTGTGGCGAGAGAGAGGCGTAGGGTCTCTGTTCTCTGTCTTTATGTTCTCTGTCTCGTGTGTGTGTGTGTCTCTGTGTGTGTGTGTGTGTGTGTGTGTGTGTGTGTCTGTGTGTCTGTGTGTCTGTGTGTGTGTGACACAGAGAGAGAGAGAGAGAGAGAGAGACTGACAAACCAATCCGTTTTGCAGGTGCCTTCGTTGGTTTCTGAATGTGGAGCTTCTCTAAGCAGGGTCCTCTTATGCTGGTATTACTGTTCCTCTCCCCTCCCATCCCCCCAAGTAATTCTGCTCCCTTTCCTACTATAAGGGGAAGGTGTCTCCTATCACCTTTTTGCCCTTTAGGGCTCAGATCGGCTGTAGAGAATTGTTCCTGGTGGCATCCTACTGTCTCAGAAGGTGGTTCTCGCCCAAATTGTACAGAAACAAGAGTAAATGGATTAAGTCATTGGAAATTGGAGGAGTTTATTCTGACCACAGATGACCTAGGTAGCATGAAACAGTAAATAAATGGTGTATGTTTGTGGGGAGGGAAGCAGACATAGGAAGTCAGGGACCAAAGGAATGGAATAAAAGGTAAATGTCAGCCATGCACACAGACTCTTTAGTGGTCCATTAAAGCTTGCCCCAGGCTTCCCCAAAGCCCAGGATATTCTATTTCCTGAGGCTCCAAGTAGTGAAGAAAAATAGCTCTTATGATACACTGTACAGGGCCGGCCCGGTGGCGCACTGGATAGTGCGCCGCTTGGGAAGCTACATGGGATCCGTACCCGTGGCCTTGGTGTTATCAGCACCACACTCTCCCCAGTGAGCCACAGGCCGGCCCATGAGGGAATATTTATGTCAGGAGGTCCTGGTTTCCTATTAGGACCCAAATTGCCCAGCAGCTGGAGTTCAAGGGACAAGTGGAACTTCTTTCTTGCTCTTATTCAGCCTGGGGTTGATATGAGAATTAAATGAGTTAATATTTGTAAACCTGCTCCCCCCAAATAAACAATTTAAAACAGTACCCGGCACAGACTGCAATGAAGTATTAGTGATGTTAATTAAATCCAGTCAAGTGACCACAGCATTTCATTCTTCCACACTCACCACCAAAAAACGTTATTGAACTTCCTTTAGGAAGGCATTCTGCAGTTGAGGGCAAAGTCAGACTTGCTCACTGTGTCCGACCTAAGGAGCAAAAGTAGTATAAGAATCATCTGGAATTCCTCACAGTGCCTTTCTTCTGACTCTGGCAACCTAAAGAGCTTCCCCAGAGACGCAGAAGAAGTGCAAAGAACATTGTCCTGGGAGTTAGGACAAGGTGGGGGTTCTAGTCACAACCCTGCTTCCAACCACCTTTATGACCTGTGTTAACATCTTTGGGCCTCATCTTCTAAAGCTGTAAAATGATAGGGTTGAATTAGATGACCTTTAAGATCCTTTCACGTTAGAAAACCCAATTGCTTCGGTTGCTGATATAAAATTCAGTGTCTAGGGCCAGCCCGGTGGCGCACTGGATAGTGCACCGCTTGGGAAGCACGGCGGCACTCCCACCTGAGGGTTCGGATCCCACATACAGACCGGTTCCCGCTCACTGGCTGAGCGAGGCACGGGAGCAACGCCGAGGGTTGCAATCCCGTTGCCGGTCCCCGGTCTGGTACGGGGGCAACACTGAGGGTTGCGATCTGTTGCCGGACACGGAAAAAGACAAAAAGACAAAAAAAAAAAAAAAAAAAATTCAGTGTCTGTGCTCAGCTTTTGGTTCTTGGTTTCTTTCATAGCTTCCATTTTTCAGAGTTTTTGGAGTTTTTTCTTTGCTGTAGTCTCCAAGTTCCTCTCTTCAATTTGCTTAGTATTCGCTATATTCCTCTTTCATCCCATGCTTTTTATTTTCCTTGGGCTGCCTTGTCTCCCACATGCAGAGTGAAGTCTTGAACACTCAGGACATTCTGCTGTGAGAAACGCGCCCTGGCATGATATGAGAAGCAGGCAGCAAGGCGAACAGTACATGCAACACTCACAACAATAATGTGGGAAGGAGAGACCTAAAAATAAGGGAAGGAGGTGTGAATTATATAACTGATGGCACAGCTCTTGACGGGCAAGCTGAGAAAAGTACATGACTAGGAGGTAAATATGGCAGAAATATAAATTCATATCAGAATTATTACATGTCCTATAGAATTTGAGATGAAATGTGACAGATCAGTAAGATGAAAGTTACAAATTATGACATTGCTTCAGAAGCTCATAATATGTAAAGTGACCTTTTAGCACAATAAGAAGAGAAGGTCCTGTGAAGAGATTGTCAACAAAAGTAAATCTATTTAGCCTACCTAAATCATGGGTTTTTTCTTTTTGAAAATTAATATTTATGTTATTTCTTGCTGTTAAAAACTAATGCGAGTATTTTTAACGAAATGGAAATACTAAATTTACTACTTTGACAAATCCCATGCCCTCTGCTTTCAGGATTCAGGGTTAAGATTTCACTACGTTGCTGCTGGAGAAAGAGGCAAACCACTTATGCTGCTGCTTCATGGATTTCCAGAATTCTGGTAAACTCACCAAGTAACTTTTTATTTTGTGTGAAACTTGGCTTATTGCCTTAGTTCGTTTTGTGCTGCTCTAACAGAATATCATAAACTGGGTAATTTATAATGAACAAAAATTTATTTTCTCTTAGTTCTGGAGGCTGGGAAGACCTATATTAAGGCTCCAGCATCTGGCAAGGGCCTTCTTGTTACATTAGCCCTTTTGTAATGTCAGAAGGTAGATGGGCAAGGAGGCAAAAGGGGGCCAAATTCACCCTTCCTAATGGCATTGATTCTACCCATGAGGGCATGGCCTAATCACCTTTCAAATGTCCCAACTCTTAATACTGTTACAGTGGCAGTTCAGTTTCAACAGGAGTTTTGGAGGGGACAGACGTTCAAACCATAGCACTTATCATGGTATCATTTTCTTGTAATGACTTTTGACAGAACTAACTCTGATCATTTGCCCAGAGTTATCATTCCTGAATGTTCCTGAATCACAACAATGATTTTCCTCCTAGTTTAAAGAAACCTACATGCCACCATCCTAAATTTATTTATTTTTTGAGTATTAAAAGAAGTATCTTTTTTTTTTGTCTTTTTCGTGACCAGTAAGGGAATCGCAAACCTTGATGTGGTGTCAACCGCACCGCGCTCAGCCAGTGAGTGCACCGTCCATTCCTATATAGGATCCAAACGCGCCACGGGAGCGTAGCTGCTCTCCCAGCGCTGCACTCTCCTGAGTGCGCCACGGGGCCGGCCCCAAAGAAGTATCTTTTAATGTTTCAAATTTCTGAAATAGTTATAAAACAGTTTTTAATAGAGTACCTACTGTGAACAAAATATAATACTGGGTGGGGAAAGGAGACAAACTGAATGCTTAGAGTGCTTGTTATCAGGAAGATTTGGTAAGGCTTGGAGTGAGAAGACAGAGAAAAGAAGACTCATGGAAACTGAAAATAACTATTTCCTATTCAGATAGCAGCAGGCTCAAATGAATGGAGGATAAATAAGGGTTCTAAATACTTCACATTAGGAAGAAAACCTAAAGCCAGAAATACACAGTTGTTAGTTACTGTGTTAGTCCATGTGTGCTGCTATAACAAAATGCCTGAGACTGGTTATTTATAAAGAAGAGAAATTTATTTCTAACAATTCTGGAGGCTGAGAAATCCAAGATCATGGCACTGGCAAGTTCAGTGTTTGATGAGAGCCAGGCTTCTGCTTCCAAGATGGTGCCTTGTTGCTGAGTTTTCTGGAGGGAATGAATGGTGGTCTTTATATGGTAGCAGGCCAAAAGGACAAAAAGGGCCTAGTTAGCAGGCTTCTGCTTCCAAGATGGTGCCTTGTTGCTGAGTTTTCTGGAGGGAATGAATGGTGGTCCTTATATGGTAGCAGGCCAAAAGGACAAAAAGGGCCTAGTTAGTGCCCTCCATTCCTTTTATAAGGTTGCTAATCACATTCATAAAGGCTCTACCCTCATGATTT